TATTAATCTCTCCTCTCTTTCCTTTTTCTCTTTTCTCTTGCGGAAAAATATCCAACAAATTCATTAAAAACGAAATCACGGTGGCAAAAAATGGGGAGCATCAAATAAATATTTCAAAGAGATCGTAATTTGCCAGGCTTGGCAGCGCGGTTATACATGTCGAGCGACGTATAAAACCACAATAAATCTCACTCAAATAACAAATCCTGCCCATATTATCGAGAAATACATGGTATTCCGATAGGTTGTGTCTTCACGATCGTGTAAATCTCGCATGGATGATATGAAGAGTGAAGAAGAGAAGGATGTGGTGGAAATAAAGCATGGAACGAAAATTCATTCGTTACTATAAATCATAAAAATATCTGGACAAAATAATCCAAGATAAAAATTGAAGAAAAAGAAAAAGAAGAAGAAGACCAACACATAATCTGATTTTGTAAGCTCATCAAAAATATGAAAAATTAATACGCCAGTCACAAACGAGTTGACTTGCCTTTTTCAAATATTTTAAAATCATTTGACCCCTGTGATAGGACTATATAAAATATATATTGTACGTAACATAGTGAAAACATCATTAATGTGAACATAAGTTAGATAAGTTCGTTTCACTTGGCGTTTAGAACGCTCGCAAGCACATTTGTTAAACATTTGCCAAACAACAAGAATGAAATGAATCCAAGAGCGTTGCAAACGTCAAGTGGAACGTAGCCAAGAAGAATACTTCGTACTTCTTTTGCATTCTTCTCTTTGTACCTCTTCTCTCTTCGAAGTTATATTAGTTTATAGACCGGACGAGAATACCTGAACATTGCATTCTCGTTGCTTCATACGTGCACATCGCGAATGTACAATAGGATAAGCGAGATCGCACGTGATCTAGCGGCGCTTACGATGTCGGGCTATGTGGTATTAAAGGATAACGACTGCATATTGATATCTGCGTAAGAGCGCACGTCAGTTGCGCAAAATTTATTCGTGCCTGTGATAGTGCAGGTGCGTAGATTAACCTTAGGAATATCAGGCCGCGAATATATGCCATGTAAACGTCTCTGGGATAAAGTTATTATAAAATATGAGTACGTTGCGTGAACTATTACAATTAAATGTTTCTAAGCGTTTTCGGTATGCTTAGTATTAGATTTACAATTAAAAGAGATTTATTGTATACGATATACGAATATGTTACGGTGTTTCATTTAATGATAATAATATTCGCAATTACAAATCGGAGTTAAACCGTTTGTCTCTTTCGCGATGTCACGTTATTAAAAACGTAATTGATCAATTTTCGTATTATCGAAGATATTCTGGTATACATTATATATTTGCGTCACATCGTATAAAACAGGAAATTGATAAATATAACAGCATATCAATTATAGCCGCTTTTCCATTTAAATTCAGCTGACATTTAGAATTCATTTATCGGAAGAAAGAGTCTTACTATCATTTTATTACATTCGCAGTCAAGATATTTTTTACTGATAATATGACCTTGACGTTCAATCGAGTGCTCATATTGATATTACAAATATATATTTTATGTGCTATAAATATATATGCAGGAATTATGTATCCTGATATAATTAATAACCCTATAATTAATAAACACATTTTAATGTTTAACTTATATACGTATAATATTATCACAAAAATTATAATTTTGCATATTAGCAAACATTTTACAACGTATTACTCTTATATATTGTAATATATCTTTATTCTGTAATCGCACATTTATGAATAATATTAAAATTTGATAAATACTTATTATATAATATATATAATGGAA